AAGAATGGTCTCAAATTCCTTAGGATGTGTTACATAACCTTATTGAAAGTATGCCGAGAAGAATTGAAGCATTAATTGTTAATAACAGGTGGCCAACAGAATATTGATTTTTTTTTTTTAAAGAAAAATTTTTGACTGATGTTCGTTTTTTTTTAACTAAAAAAAAACGTAAAAAAAGGATGATAGAAAAATGATATTTTATATGTGGAGTTGTCAAATCTAATATTGATGTAAACTTTATATACTTTTGCTAAGTGGCATTTTGCGTAATTATTAAAACCTCGTCCAAATCCTTTTTTGGATGGTAGTGTAATTATATTTATATTATCTTGTTAAAGAAATAAGACCTATATTTTATAAAACAAATACGAATAAAACGAGTAACGAATAAAACGAATAATTTTTTGATTCGAATAAGAATTTGTATTATGAATAGAAGCCCTAGTTGTTGTCAACTATATATGGTTCCTTTTTATAAAAAATAAAAGCACGTAAAAAAATTGATAACTGACCAAAAGTAATTATTTTCATTTGTATATGTCTTTTAGCTATTATAAATATAAATAAATGGGAACAAATTAATCCTTGAAGTACATTGGCAATAAAAGTTTTACTGGAGATTTAAATGAAATTGGTAAGGTAAGAAAGATTTTTTTTTTTAAGAAAAAAATTTGAATTAAATGTAAAAGCTAATTTGCCTATTCATAAATGTTAATCAAATATTTATTAAATAAAGATGATGTATAAATAATCAATTTTCACAATTACTTTTTGAAGATATAAGTGAACTTTTAGACTCTGGAGTGTTTACTCTTAACGGAAAATTAAAAGGTGAGAACTTGTTTCTAATTTAGTTGAATTATGGTTATTTTATTTTGGAACAGTTATCCTTGTTTTGAAGGAGTTTTTCTGCCATTACAAATGCAAATGAGTTCACATTAAATTAGCATTGAACGTTTGGTACTAATGAGTTTTAGAGATCATATATATCATTATGTGACAGAGTTAAAGGTATTTTTTTATTTAATAACATTATAACATTAACATTAACATCGCCTTCGATCCTTTTATTTATAAAAGCATTTAATAAATTATTTCATGACTTTGATTCTGGAATTCTTATAACAGATACTGCAGCTCGTATGCTTCAAATGGCATATATTTCATCACTAGTATTTTCTGATGACAATAAATAAAAAGATATAGATAAAACTTTATCCAAATTAAAAAATAATTGGTAGGGATCAAAAATGTTTTGATGGGATGTCACCTTCACATTCAAACAATACATCGACAATAGCAATAATACAATGTTGATAACAAATTCTCCAAGGTTTACAACAGATGATGATTATTTCATCAGAAATTTCTAATA